AAGTAGTAACATTCCCCAGGCTAACGGTGCCCTTGCCTGGGGGTTTCGTTACTACAGTATACAAGTCAACCGATATCAACTGAGCGCTACCCAGCTGAACTCAGCGTATATTTTCATGTGGGTTATTTTTGTAGAATGAGTTGGCCTGTACGGAAACCAGCATTTATTTTAGCGCTGAATTTTGTGAAAATTCACTTCCTTAGCTCTCCCGTATGTTTTTGGTGCGGGGAAAAAAAACGGGAAATAAATTTTCTTAATCACTGATTTATGCTGGTCCAAATGAGCTTCTCGCAGTCTAGTTGTACGAGGGATTGCCTGTGTTGTAGGTTTGTGTCCGATCATGTTTTCTCAGAGCCTTCTATGGAAACACATTTAAATTTCATACTGTGTTGAAGGTTCGAATCTCCTGTTTATCAACAATTACGAAGAAGTTATTTTAAAAATGTTGACAAATTTCTCTGCTTCAAGATATGAGATGAAAACCACGCAGAATCTGATCTTTTGGCATGCAAATTGAGCCCAAACTGCAAAGAACACGCATAATTCATGATGTACCTGTCACAAATGATGGAAAAAATTCTGCAAAATCAAGCACAGAATAGCAAGTGTTGGATTATAAATTACTGTCTTTACGTGACTACCACGTGCCTTCAAGAAAGACGCACTCCGAAGTTTCTAGTGAAGTTTTTTTTTAAATAAAATGTCATCCCTGAGTACGATGTGCACCCCATTTTAGCGACTCGAACACTGCAATATTAAAAAAAAACATAATAATAACCAAAATGAATTGCAGACATGAATTTATTCTTAATTCAAATAATTTTCAAATATTTCAATTTACAATAAAGTTTTCTCCTTAAAATTGGTCCAAAATGTCAGATTAGAACTAAATAGAATGTACACCAGCTTATAAATTTTTTTGGAAAATGTATACCCCCTATGACGTTCATCTGTTTTCTTCCTTTTAATTTTGAGAAAATGTGTGCGTGGTACTCAAGTAAATAAATTGGATAAAATTTATCCAAGAGATTATTTTAAATACCGCATTTGTCAAAATAAATTGCTGTTTTTTTTCAGATGTCAAATTTGTGTACATTGAGCAATAAATTTCTTTAGCGAATGTCGGCAGTGTTCATATCTCAAGGCACTGCTTGGATCTTGGGGTAGATTTGTTTTTAGTTCCGTGTCTCCACGTTGAATCTTTTGTATGTCGGGGTGTCCGTATCACTGGGCCTCACTATATATATAAATTTTTTAAAGACTGGTTGTTCCACTTTTTTTTTTTCAAAATAAAGCCCAGTTGGTCGACGCTCAGTCGGCCTTCGCGCTCACTTACCCACGCTCAATTTCCCCTGAGACCCCAGGAAAAGTTCCCTCCAATTTCCCCACAGCCCGGTCTGTTCTCGCTCTCTTCCGTCGTCGTCGGCGACGGCCGGGTGTCGAGCCCATTCCAGCGAGATGGCAAACAACTGCGCACGAGAGACTCGTGTTGGGGGGGGGGGGGGGATGCAGAAAAGCGGAGGAAGAATGAAGAATTGAGTTCCGCTCGTGTGAGTGCTGCAGTGTACAGAACTGTACTGAACTGAACTGAACTGATGCTCGTCGCCTGCTGGAGACATATTGAGTTTTTCCAAGCGAAGGATCAGCCGGCTGAGCGAAAATCCCTATCATTGCTTGCTGCGAACTAGAACTGAACTGCTGCTCTTGGAATTCCTTCTTTTTTCCGCCTTTTTCCCCCCCGATTTCTTGTTCACTGAGCTCGCTTCATCTCTCCGGAATGAGGTCAGGAAACATGTTGTTCAGCCATAATTCTGCAGCGTCCTGAATCATGCAGCTCAAACTCATCCATGCTGATTGGTTCCTCTGGGATGATCGCACGGTTGTGGTGATGTGATGAGGATATTGGCTGACATTTTTTATTCATCATTGTTCGGATGGTATATCAGGTGTTGCTAAAAATGGTTGTCGTGTGTGTCAGTTGTATTGGTTGTCTCAGTGATGGAAGCGCTGATGGAATGGGGAATAATAACATGCCTCGTTTCTCCGAAAATCTGACGAAATATTTCAGGCATTTTAATAACGGAGGCCATCTTTGGATGCATATTTTTGAACACATTGTTGGGATATGTTTTCCATTTCAACGAGTGATTACGGGATGGAAACAAACGTCAAGAACTTTCAAATGATGAGCTTTGTGAATGTTAGAAACCGTACTTGAAATACTGTACATATGTGAAAGTCCATGGATAATTCTTGCATTTCTGCTGGAATGCCGCATTTAACTTGAATACCGTATGCTAATTTTTCTCAAATTTGAGAAGAAAAAAGGTGTGCGTCATAGACGGATATGTATTTTTCAGAACGTGTTGGAAATTTACAAGTGCACTACACTAGTTTCGAATTGGAAATTTTCGACCATGTGTACCAGAAAAACCTTCTTCTATTGAAGGAGATGAAAATTAGTTGAACTCAAGTTTTGATTCATTAACGTTTAAATTATGATTTTGTATATTTAATTTATGAAATATTTTGGTTCTCGAGTCCGTAAACTGCGGTAAGTGTCTTATTTGGTGAGGAAGTTTTATCGAAATTTTCTATTGAAAACCCATGTGCGCGTTTCACTCAAGGGTGCTTCGTGCTGGGGTAAAATGGTACTTCATGTTTTATTGCAGTCTAAATTTTCAAACTTGTCTAAATTTTGTTGGCCAACCGTGTGTGTATAATTTTATTTTGCTTACTGTACTGTAATAATTATTATGCGTTGCAAAGTAGTCAAGTTTGGCGTGAGCTATTGAGAAAGATAAATTCAATGAACATTATGAATTTTCATCAATAGTATATACGTTGCAGGTATTATTTTTGCACTGATTTTTTTTTCAATGACTTCTCATAGCGCTGCGTGGTTCCCCCGCCAGTGCTGAAATTTCGTGACCCCTTCTCCTTGTGGTCAGAGTATTGGGCAAGGGTTAATTTTCATGAAGATAAAGTGCACCGTCACGGAAACTAAACTAATCTCAGGTACTGAGAATTTCTTCTGCTCACGTTTATTTGATCCAAGATATCTTCTTTACTCCGGTCAGTGGTGTCTAAAGACGAGCCAAGCTCTCTTGGTAACCATTCATCGTCTCTGATGAAGTATGAACAAAGTTTCGGGATTGACGCAGGAGATGCATCACGGAAGTGTGTGCAAAAATCACTTTATCACGGTCGTGATAAACTCAGACGGGATTACTAACAGCCTTCTTTCTCTTTTCATCAATAACTTGTTACGAATGGTATTTTTTATCATTCAAAGGTTTCACTTGTGTGAACCTGCTAAAATCCGATTGTAGTGACTTGTCACCAGCATCTTTTGTAGTGCACCTTTTCATTGATGCAGCTCATGCCCTTTTTGTTTATATTAAATTTTTCAAACTTGTCTAAATTTTGTTGGCCAACCGTGTGTGTATAATTTTATTTTGCTTACTGTACTGTAATAATTATTATGCGTTGCAAAGTAGTCAAGTTTGGCGTGAGCTATTGAGAAAGATAAATTCAATGAACATTATGAATTTTCATCAATAGTATATACGTTGCAGGTATTATTTTTGCACTGATTTTTTTTTCAATGACTTCTCATAGCGCTGCGCGGTTCCCCCGCCAGTGCTGAAATTTCGTGTCCCCTTCTCCTTGTGGTCAGAGTATTGGGCAAGGGTTAATTTTCATGAAGATAAAGTGCACCGTCACGGAAACTAAATTAATCTCAGGTACTGAGAATTTCTTCTGCTCACGTTTATTTGATCCAAGAGTATTCAAGAGATCTTCTTTACTCCGGTCCGTGGTGTCTAAAGACAAGCCAAGCTCTCTTGGTAAACATTCGTCGTCTCTGATGAAGCATGAACAAAGTTTCGGGATTGACGCAGGAGATTCATCACGGAAGTGTGTGCAAAAATCACTTTATCACGGTCGTGATAAACTCAGACGGGATTACTAACAGCCCTCTTTCTCTTTTCATCATTAACTGCTTCATGTACAGTAAAATCACGTTACGACGAACTGTCAGGGTTCTGAGACAAAATTTGTTGGAACACGGAAATCATTATTCTGAGATTCTAGTTGTTTGAGCAAAATGGACTGGAATGTTATGGTGGAAGGTAATGGATGCCTTAAACCACAGTATGTCCATTACAGAATTGTGAACTACAATATTTTCCTCTACCTTAAGATGAAATAATGTAGAAAACTGAAACCTGAAATACTATATGCTTGTACTTCATACCTTCCCTTTTTTTGAATTTCCTAAAAGTTATATTGATCTCACTGAAAAATAAGCTGAAATGAGCGGAAAATTTACGCGTAAAAAGAACAGTTATTCATTATGAAGTTTATGTTCACTGAAATAGAGCAGCGTCCTTTAACATTTATTTTCTCTGAATAATTCATTTCATTCTAAAAACAATAGGTACTGCGTAAACATTTTGATTCGAGCTTCGTACTTTCTGCACTGCTAAATTTTTATACAAGAGAATACTACAGCATTTATATTTTTGAAGGTTTTTCAACTATTCACAAGTTGGGTTTTCCCATATTGGGCGAATTAGCATACGTTTATATGGTCCATGGCAGCACAAATGAATGCAAGAATTCGTTCACCAAGATCGTAGAAGGAAAGGGATTTGATTATTATATAACAAAATTTTGTAACATTGTCCTCTTGATAAAACTTCTTGGATCAGTATAAGTGAGTTATAATGAGATACAGTATTTTGCAACGGAATTTCACTGATGTACGGTACATCCGACTTCAAATATGTGGCTTTTGTTTAGCTCAGCCAACAGCTTACTATAGTTGGGAAGACAAAAGTCTTTGGGAAGTTAGTCCTAAACTCTGCGCGATTTGGAAGAAGAATTACCGGCCTCCTCGCCACCGATATTCTCAATTTGCTTCATGTTCACATATTGTCGTACTTTCGGATAATCTTGCTAAAGTAGGCAGAAAGAGATTAATGGCGTGCATTTTCTTTCTCTGTGTGTCCAGGATTTCCAAGTGGAATCGATTGATTTTGCGCGCGCCGAGTCGCCGACTGTGCTTCAATACTCTAGAGTACTGTGCATCATCTGTGCGACGGAAAAGAAGGACATCATTCGAATCGTGATTCGGGCCATATTGCAGTCAGTGCGTTGATTTTCCTGCGGGAATCGAAGCTCGGCCGACGATGCCTGAGCAGAGCAACGACTACCGGGTCGTCGTGTTCGGTGCCGGAGGCGTTGGGAAGTCGTCCCTGGTGCAGCGATTCGTCAAAGGCACCTTCCGGGAAGGATATGTGCCTACAATCGAGGACACCTACACCCAAGTATGTTCTATCTGAAGTCATATTCTCGGCTGTTTCTGTTCAGTTGAGGAAAGTTGAATGATTTCTGTATCCTCCGTATGTATACTAGGGTTGCACCATTTGAACGCGACCTCTGATATTTTTAGAATAGGTGTACAGTACTGTAGTTGTATATTTTTAGATTAGGTGTAGTTGTAGGTGTAGGTGTAGTTGTAAAAGAAATCGTGACATAAGCAATAATGTTCTAAGGTTCTGGAGTTTTTTTCTGATTAAAATAAAAGTTTTTCAATTCACTGATAAATGATTGAAACGGTGATGCAGAGTGAAAACGTGTTCCAGTTACGAGTACGACCAAAGTTGTTCACCCAGTTCACAGATGTGTGCTAAAAATTTGTTAGGCTAGCTAAATTATCCATAATGCTGAAAACATAGCAAATAAAAAACAATACAAATTTATATTTATATATTTGGCCTGATGAAGTTCTATCACCGTCTAACACGGGTGGAGAACTCCGGCTGTAACTGGAACGTTTTCCCGTGGCATCATGCAGTAAATTTAAAAAGCTTTTCTGAAAATCCAAAAAAAAAAACTCTTATAGAGTCATAAAAAACCTAAAAACGTAGTACGTTTGGAACTTTTTTTTTTGAATCCGAAAAAACCCCACTGGAGTCTAGATAAAGTATGGTTTGTTGCGTATTGTACTTGATGTTCATGTGCGGCAGAAAAGTCAGTACGTTAATTGATTTTTTTCAAATAACGTATAAACCAGGGTTCCCAAACCTCAGGTTTTTGCGAGTCTGTGGGAAATTTTCAAAATACTACATTTTATCAAAATTAGAGATCAAGTCTTGTCTTTTTTCCTAAAATTTTGGAAGGGAAATGGAAATTATCTGATTGAAGTAGAAGTTGGCTTTTCTCCTGATAACACTTCAGGCAAATTTTTGCTGAGGAAATAAATTATTATAATTTTTCATTCTGAGAAACCTCGCTTCAAGTGTACCTATCTAATTTGTCGATGAAATTCATATATATCTGCTTCATTGGTGCTTACCTGAATTTTGAGAAAAAAGCAGAAAGTTTTAAATACCTGCTGTAAAGTCACACTTTTTTTTAAGGTTTGCTAGTCCGCAAAAAAATTTATGGAAATTTGCTTGTCCGCCGGCTCAGAAATTTTGGGGAATACTGGTTTCAACCTTGTGAACACTGAAAAGCAGAAAATGAAGCTCATTGATTAATCAATCAATATGAGCTTCCTCCTGGGACTTGAGAAAAAGTTTGTTGTTCTGAAATGTATGCTGTGATGGTATTTGCTGTAACAAGATGTTACTGCACTGCATCATGGAAGCGGATTTTTCCGAGTTCACAAAGGCTATGCCGAAATATGGCGTAAATTAATGCAGAGTATGAAAATTAAAAGTAAAATTGTGAGCTGTGCTTTCTTGGAGATGATGATGATGATGATGATTTTGAAAATTTACTCTGATGGACAATATTAACCAAATCTCTGTCGGCTGTCTCATCCTGCAAAATCGCAGGTGATCAGCTGCAACAAGAACGTGTGCACGCTGCAAATCACCGACACCACCGGGTCCCACCAGTTCCCCGCCATGATGCGCCTCAACATCACCAAGGGCCACGCGTTCATCCTCGTTTACTCGGTGACGAGTCGGCAGTCGCTCAAGGAACTCTCTGCCATTTGGGACGCCATTCTCGAGACCAAGAACGAAGCCATGGGCGACATCCCGGTCATGCTCGCTGGCAACAAGTGCGACGAAACCGAGAGTCGCGAGGTGAACTGCTCCGAAGGCGAGGAGCAAGCCAAGCGCTGGCGTTGCAATTTCATGGAGACCTCGGCCAAGACCAACTTCAACGTCAAGGAGCTCTTTCAAGAGCTGCTCAACATGGAGAAGAACCGCAACATGACGCTGTCACTGGACGGCAAGGAGAAAAAGTCCCAGAAGGGCCCGCACAAGTTCAAAGAGAAATGCTGTCTCATGTGAACCCCCGTCCTGACGATGATGCCACATTCATCACCCTAATACCCGAGGCAAACAAGCAATAAAAAAAAGTGGGGGAAAAAAAAGAAAAAAACAGTTCCTCTTTCCTACTGCTCTCAAAAAAAAACGAAAGAAAAAACTCAACAACGATAACTTCAGAATTTGCAGAGTCACGATTTTGCTACCAAGTACGTTCAATCAAGATGAATGAATCCTTTCTTGTTTAATTGCTCTCAAGATCACGTTTGCTGATGGAAGTTCCGTTATCTGAAGCCCTGACGCAAACTTCAAGGAATTCAGACTTTGAAGCAATGCAATAATACAGAAGCCAGAATATACTGTTGTGTGGTGCGAAAAACTTAGGCATGAGGGCAGTAGCAAAATGAAACGAGAACTCTTCCAAGCCCGAACATGGTACAAGCAATTGCGAATGGATTGCGTTGTGACGATCTTCATCCTCCCACACGTTTTTGTTTTTTTCTTGCCAAGAATTCTAAAGATAGACTGAATGATGGAGGAAGAACCCGAGTCGAAGCTAGTCCAGCAATGGGATATCTTTTACTCTTCATTTTTACTCGGAATGGGTGCTTGCGTGACACGAGTGGGGTATATTTTTTCCCGCTCTTTGTTCGACTTGACTGTGATTGCGGGGTGAAAAGAGAGATGAATTAGAAGCATTCCCTTTTCCGCCCCTGATGAAGCCCGAAATTCGCACAGAGAGAGAAGAAATTGAGAAAGGAAAGACACCATTTTGGAATGTATCTTTAGGACCCGTCTTGGGCCTTTTATCGACGTGCGAGGATTTTTCCCCCTTCTCATCATCGCTCCGCGGATTCATGTTTTTATGAATTCAAAATGATAGCAAACCCTTATCCTCCAGAAGGAAGCAATTTTCTTGACCAGCGAAAAAGTGCAGCGAACCCAGGTGGCCGTGTATAGATTCTATAGAAAACGACTTTTGCAGTTTATGTTGAACAATTCGCAAAAGAGTATAGAAGGAAAAAGCAGTGATATGGTAGGAATAATGCTTATTTCCAACTGCTTTTTGCAGCGATCTCAGATTTCATAGGCCGAAATGATCTCATTGCCCATTGAGAACCATTCGCTTTCCATCGGGTTACCTTTCAAACATGTTTTTGTTGTTTTTTTACATCGAAAACTTGAGGTGCCGACATTTTTTATTCGAGTGACGAATTTATGCTCGCGAAACGAGTGAGCAGGAATTTCGGGGAATCTGATGTTTTCTTCGAAAAGGCAACCAGTGCGTTGATTTTGTTGCATTTTACGAATTCTTCACCCTTTTTTAAAATTCGCAAAACAAACGATTTGCCAATTCTTTGAGCAATTTTCTAAAGACTTCATCGAAGTATGGAGATCTCAATTCGGGCGGATTTTGTGTGGATGGAGCAACGCGATGCTCTAACTTCTTGCAGCAGTTCGCGTGTGTCTGTTGCTATTATTTATTTTAATCATTCCGCTTTCGTACCATCAATGATCTTATTGCTTGAACTACTGTTCTAAGCACTTATCAGGAAAAAAAAAGGAAATATGAAACGACCGATTTCGAGGCGTGTGTTTGTTCGAGTTCGGCAAACACTGTTGATTGCGAGAGCGTGAATAAATCAAGAATGTTTTGTCAGCATTCTTCATAACTGAGAATCGAATCTGAAATGTCGTAATTATTTGATTCACTAATTCATATATATGTAGTGAGAAGGTTGGATCAGAAGCTTTGCCAGCGTTTTAAATCCTGCCTTTGATCGGCGCTCATCTGCTTTCACTTTCATGCGATAAGAATATAAAGAATCAGAAAATGGAAAATCAATCGCTATCTTAAGTTATTCAACGATGACTCGACGTGATAGTGCCTAAATTCCTTGTTGGAGAATTCGTCTATTCCTGAGAATCTTATTCAACCTTTGAACTACTGTACCTTAAACCATGTTCGGAGCCTGCGGCGTTTCTATTCTTCACATCATATTAATTTCAGAGTTAGTGCCAATAACCAAGACTGAAACTGATGTGAAGCCGCAATTGAAGTTGATGATTGAAATTTTATAATAATTCCATTCAGATTTTTTTTCACTTAATTTTTTTACTGAAGAAAAGGGGAATCAGGAAAAACCTGGCGAGGAGCGGAACCTGCGCAAACGGGAAGAAAATCCAGTGATGGGTGGGAGAGAAAAACAATATCAATCCGGGCTTGGGCAGAGGTCTCCTTACCCTAGTTTTTGACCTTTATAGGCAGAATATTCATTTTAAAAAACGAGGCGACGACATAATGACGAAAGCAAACATTGAAAAAGCTCAACATCCAGAGAAACGCGCAGTGAAGGAAATATAACCTCCCTAAGAATTGAACCAAGCAAAAACCAAGGAGCACAGGAATAGAAATCATTCTGTCATATCAAATGATATGAATAATCCAGCTGAAAAGAATTTAAAAAACAATATTACACATATTAAAATACCAGGAGGAAGAAATTTCAAATCAGTGCATTGGTGAATTATTTTCAGTTGGAAAAATGTTGGCTTCAAAATAAAATTTTTAATCCACCACTTCAGGATTTTTGCCAAGAAAAGTTTGTTCCCCAAAATTGGGTTTTTTTTACAGCAAGCGTTCTTTCCTGGAAACCAAAAGTTTGTTAACTGAGTGGTTTGTTAACGAAGAATCCACGGTGCTTGCTATAATCAGTGCTACAAAAAGGGACCTGGATGTTGTCTTGAATGATGGGAATTTCAAGACTGTCCACATTTTCGAAACAATTCACACAATATCCTCCCATGCGGTGCATGGGCTTCCACATATGACGAAAGAAGCAAATGAATTGACGCACAAAAAAGTTATTTTTGTTCTCCTGCTTTGTCAATGCATGCCGCTCTTGGTCCTGAACCGTTCACACTAGAACTCATCGACCAAACCAACCCGAGCTCATAAGAAAACAAATCCATGTCACATATTTTTCCTCTTTGAACGGTTTCCCACGGGTTTTTCTTTTTTTTTTTGCCTCTGAAAAATCGCGATATCGCCTGCATGCAGTCAGCGTCATTCGTTGAAAATCCAGATGTTTATCGTTTTCCTGCGGGGCATTTTTTTTTTCTCGCTACAATATAAATTTTTATTTTATGGTCCAAAATGATAATGAAACAGTATAAGAACATCAATATCGGCTAGCTGTGATGTGACAATATGCCGTGATGTCATATAGTGATGTTCAAAGTTTGCGTATAGTTTTGAACGAAATGTTTTCCAACCCCGTGTTTGCCTCTACCAGGGTGAAAATTTGAAGAGTATTTTAAAATATGCATTGAACCCTTTTCCCTGGGATCAGTGTCTTTGGTTGGACAGCAAAGAATGAAGACATACATTACAGCAATGTTGATTGATAAATGAACAAGCGTTGTTCGTTTATTGTCAGCATTCACGGGGTTTTGAAGAGTTTTCACGCACATCCATTCAAAATATAATAAATCAAATAATTCATAGAAATGCATGAATCATGGACTAGCATCAATCTTTTAGACAAAACCAAAGCACTTGGCAATTACTGAGCGCAATTTAAAGCACAAGGTTTTCAGCCTTTTCCTAATATTTAATAAATGATCGAACAATTTCGAAAGAATCTTTGAGGAGAATTCATGTGAACCTAACAAGTTTTCCTGTTCATTTGGCAGAATTTCAAAGATACCCTTTTTATTGAATCCTGAGAGTCTGGAGTTTCAAAAGTTCAATTCTGATGCTGGGCATAAGAAAGGATGTTCTGGTGATGCAGACATGCAGTGTAATATACTATATGTACACTGCAATAATTACATTGCTCTAGACATTCTTTAGAATTTGATACATTTTCTGTTGAAATGCCCCGAGTTTATTAAAAGAGTTACAGTATTGAATACTGCACCAAAGGAATACAGTAGGATATAAACATTAATGGCTTAGTTTTATCACAAGGAAGGTCAAGCCATTTTGTGACAAAATTGTGCAATTGGAAATCTCTTCTTTATCTGTACCTTTGCATAAGATATTGAATAATTTTGCAATGTGGAAATCGTGATAAGAATCGAGCAATTTTAATCCAGAAATTCTATAGCATGCATGAATATTTGAGAAATTTAGAAAAAGAAAACAACAGTGTTGGGTGAGTTCGTTGAACCCTCAGAGAGTAAAAGTGAGCCTCATACATGCAGGGACTCTAATTCTATATATATCTGCCTGAATACATCGGTGGAAAAATCCAATTACATCGGAATGCACAAGAATCGCAAATTACTTCTTCCTAAAATTATTTCTTCCGCTCGTCCTTTTTCTATCGAATTTTGGGGTCAACGAACCTGTTCAATGTTCCTCCGTCCTTACGGTATCATGTATCGGACATTCATTCATCCATACCTTGGAATTAAAATTTCATAAATAAACATTGATCAGAAGCGCAATTCTCAGACTTCAGGCCTGCATGTGTTCAACGATACGATATCGAATGTTGGATATACTGTATATCGATTAGCATGCTTTACAACGGTGAGGAAAGTTCTGCACTCCCGCAACAGCATCAAATAAGAGAGTGGAGGATGGATATGGTGGAAAATATTGTAACTCTAAATAAATCCCTAAATTCTGCTGAATGAATCTTTCCCAGAAATTCACATTTCGTCCCTCTTGTGCCGCATTAATGATCCACTGACTGCTGTTGGGAGGTAGATTGAATTTATGGGTTTATTGCGTCATTTTTTATGAAATTTCTCGATCATTACTTTCGTCACACAAGTTTCCTCCGAACGCTATAAAGGCCTCAGCCGCTGGTTGTAACTAGATGAAAAAAATATGTAGGTTACTAAGTGAGATAGAAAGCGGGCAGGGCATTGCCCTCTGTTATGAAAGACCGCGATGCAAAGTAAAATCACGTCATGCTCACACATATACAGCAGTCGAGTCAACGAACGCTAGCGAAGGCGTTCACTGCATTTTTTTTTTCATCCTCTTCTCAGTTTACTTTCCAAATTAGTGTTATTTTTTGTGCGTGATTTCATCAGCTTGAAGTGCAAAAATGTTCAGGCGTTTTGTCGCGTGAAACGAACGTGTGCGAGTCTCGAATTATTTTTTTTTTCGTGTCCGAAAAACTTCCGTATATTTGCAGTAATTATGAAGGTTTTTTCCGTCGTGTACACTCGAAGTTTTGGATTTTCCGGTTACGAAAAGGCGTGGTTTTCTGCTCTTTGATTGAACCGATGATTAATTGGACTAATCATAAAACCTGCTTAGAGATTATGAGATATATAGTTACGTCCAGTTATACTGATGTACACGAACTCGAATACCAAAATTGGAGCGCAAAGTGAAAATTTTGCGTACATTTCTCGCTCCATCAGCAGGAAAGACAGAATTTCCTTTGTTGCTTTCTCTTCTATTTATTTTAGTGACTTGAACGGAAATTTGGAATCATAAAAATAACCAATAGGTTTAATACGGGTGTTCTCTACAAAATAAAGTTGCCCAATTTTTCTGTAGAAACGATTATCTTATTTTGTCCCATAGATAAGGGTTTCCTTCCCCTGTCACAAAGGTTCACCTACTTGGAAGTTCTCTCTACAACAAATTTTTCCGTTCAAATTTCGTTCAAGAGAGAGTCCACCTTTATATCTATATAATGTACAATACAGTGGATATATACATGTGTATTTGTAATCGCAGTGACTTACGCTTTAGTGAGTCATCGAAGATGCATGTTCATTTTTCATTTTACGTCACATCTCATGATGTCAGCCATCCTAAAGGTCTGTGCGAAAAAATTAGCTGGCAATTTACAAATTGAAAATACGGTATACGAATCGTGGGCTATTTATTTGCTGCAAATGAGCGTCACGCCATTTCCTCGAACGATTGACTATGCAAATGCTGCGCTCAGGTGTGCTCTATATACAGTATATGCACATACTGTACAGTACTTGATGTAATATTCAAATAGACACGCCTTTGAAAGTTTCCCTGGAAATTGTCAATGGAAATCAGGGTGTGGCATACAAACTCGCATAAATTTTTTATACATAATTTTTTATATATTCGCGCGCGAAATAATGAGGCTTCCGAACTCTCGTAAGAACTGCGGTTATGTTTTGGCACGTTAACACTCCTTCCTGGAATTCATTCAATGTGTATCAACGTCAGCTGAAATGCAGATCGCGCCTTTTTGCGCAATTTAATTTCTCATAATGGCACACCATGGTATAAATTCAATGGGACGAGCACTGCATGAGCGGTTGAATCATCGTAAAATCCGCACATCAGATGCGTAATGAACGCAAATCACGCACAGCTTTATTGTGCAACTATATGCTGTATTTAGTTAGATGAAATTTGCGGGAAAATGAAAACGACGCCAAAAAAAAGTGCTTCGTATCTACCGGGATAAACCGTGCGAAAGATTCAATGTGAAGGAAACTTTTCGCAGTATTTGTGTGTCAATTTCTCAATTATGCCGTGATCGAGGTCGATGTTGGATAAATTCACGTCGAGCAATTCGCTGTATTTATTTATATTTTGGCATCCGCAATCTGAAACAAAATATGTGTGTGCTTTTTAAAATACACCGAAAGGCAAAAATCATATTAATTTCATTAACCGCTATGAAACTTTTGAATAAGTACATGGGGGTTTCGTAACCCCCCCCCCCCCCCCCCACCCCACCCGTTTTTAAAAAAGAAAGTGGGGTTTTCTTCCCCCCCCCCCCCCCCCGCCCCAAAGCATAAGTGTCAACTTCTAGCCAGCACACCTATTTGAAAGAAGAAATAAGATTTAATGAAAAATGCATCACAAAAAAAGTAACAACTTATTCTTCTCTTCATGTACAGTGGACCCCTGGTCATCACACTTTTCGGTTAAGAAACTTTTGGTTTCGAGGAATAATTCCTTGCATGCTTAACAAGCCAAAATTGGGTTAATTCTACTGGGGAAAATTTCCAAATTTGAAAATTCAAAATTGGTTTTTGAGGCTAAAATGTATAGTAGAATCAAAGTTAAAATAATTATTCAATGCACTGATATAAAAATAATTTCCTCCTGGGACTGATGCATAAGTTTCTGTTTTAAAATTGTATAAGCTACATCACTCATATGCTTTTCTGTGACAAGTCCAAATCAAGAAGAAAATTACAATATATGGAGAGCAGCAGTGACTGCAAGCAAGAGGCAGCAGAAGGCAATTTTGAAGATGATTATTAGATAGTCCGTTTGAGGACCAATGCAACCAAACCGCCCTTCTCAGGGCCACCACACACCGTTACGAAGCTCTCATCCAATTAAAATAGGTGGGGGGGGGGGGGCTTTTGACCTAAGAGGTTTTTCGGCAGGGGTGGGGAGCTTTTGCTTGGGTACCATTATAATAGAGCTTTGTTTGGATATTCCTGTGCAATATTTCAAAAATCTCAACATTTCCAGACAAAAGATTCTTCAATTGAACTTTTTGAAACTTCAGTACGGTACAGCATATAGATTCCATGAATTCTTGGAGTAACCATGTGTGAACGAAGACTCCAGCATCTGGAAACCTCGCGAAGTACTGTACTATAGTAGTCATCGTTTCGCCGATGAGTCGCAAGTGGTACCCAACCAAAGCCAACCTGCCAAAAGCCCCCGGAAAGCCCCCCTGCCAAAAGCCCACCCCACCACTTTTTCATAATTGGATGCAAGTTTCATAATAGTGCTTGGTGGCCCTATGGTTTCATTAATCTTGAAAAGGACTGTTTAATTATCATTTTCAAAATTTCCTTCTGCTGCCTTTACCTCACTGTCACTGATCCTCTCCATGTCATTTTCTTCTAAATAGCCATTGTAGTATTCAATTTGACTGCCCTTCTGATTATTGATGATCTGAAGTGCACCAGCCATTCAGATCAACAAGGTGAACTGTAGATTTTGCAGAAGTCAGCAAATGATGATGCTTCAAAATTCAAAGAATCACTGATGACCATTGCGGGTGAAGAATCCCTTCATATACTCAACTTACCAACATATTGGTATTTGGCCTTGTGCTGGACTGTTGGGCCTGCTGATGAAAGGGTGTCCGGTATGGTTTCCTCCTAGCTTATTTTCCATTGTGGTCCGTAGACGGATTAAGCTGGATGGACCATTGGAGAAGAAAAGGGATTTGGGCACGGGCCTAAGGAAACTGGCGCCAGGCGCCATGGGCTAATACCCTGAAAATTGTGCAGAAAGTAAAAGGTTATTTTTGAAAGGGGGACAATAACTTTCCTCCAAGTCTCAGTTATATAAGGAATACTAAATACCCTTTCTTCAGAAGTATCCAAGTTACCCGGTGTCCTGTTGAACAGTTGCTTCTTTTTTTTTATTTTACACTGCTCGCAATTGAATTTGCTTTGATTTGTACTTCACTATTTTTGTTTTGTTTTACAACAGGATTCACAGGCATTAGCTCTGTATCAATGGCGGACTATGGTCCAGCACTTTTTTCCTTTCAAGGCAACTGAATCAAACTGAATTACATTACAAAAGTTCTCTGTTTCCTGGTTTTATATAGAAATATATCAAAAATGGCACAAAACCTAATGGTTCATCAGTGTATTACTGCTAAAAGTGCTTTGAACTTGATGGTAGAAAACGCTACCTGACTGTTCGTGAAAATTGCATTGTTGCGCGTAAACATCCAGAAGACGACCATCATCAAGATTGTGGACCAGCTGAAGCTAAAGCAATTGCTGTTACACAAGTAATTCGTGCTATGTTTGAAGAATCTCGAAGAAGTGGCAAACAACCAAGAGCAGCTTATGATTCAGTGCACAGAAGGATCCGAATGCAGTTTTGTATTTGTAATAAATGGCATTGAATTGAAAGTGGATGATGTGTGCTATGTTTGAAGAATCTCGAAGAAGTGGCAAACAACCAAGAGCAGCTTATGATTCAGTGCACAGAAGGATCCGAATGCAGTTTTGTATTTGTAATAAATGGCATTGAATTGAAAGTGGATGATTAAAAAATTATTGCAGTCGAGGGGGCAAGGGGCTGAAGAAACATGCTATACAAAAATGTTGAGGAGTACATTATAATAGAAGTAAATGAGAGGTCCCAAAAAACACAGCATGATTACCAATGCACCTGGCGATTAGAGAATGAACCGAGCGAAAACGGACCCCCTCCCAGCCTCCTGGCGAAGGACCAGACGGTTTAATCCTTTTGGGTTGAACAATGTGGGATAATATAGTAGGAAACTATTACCAATGCACCTGGCGATTAGAGAATGAACCGAGCAAAAACGGACCCCCTCCCAGCCTCCTGGCGAAGGACCAGACGGTTTAATCCTTTTGGGTTGAACAATGTGGGATAATATAGTAGGAAACGATTCCTAGGACCTGATGAAAGGTGCAGCTTACCATCAAGAGTTACAAGAATACCTGGTGAAAGGTGCAGCTTACCGTCAATGATTACAATAATACCTGTAATCCCCAATTTTTGCACCTAGGGGGGCTTTTGTCTGGGGGGGGGGCTTTTGACCTAGGGGGGCTTTAGGCAGGGGGGCTTTTGGACTACATCCGTTGCAAGTGCTCTCATAGATAAGGCCGGTAACAGCCACTACGAGTGGTGGGATGGATGAGATCCAGTCATTTTTATCTAGAAAAGCCATTGGATTATATAACATAGAAACGATTCCTGGAGGAAACGTGTGTTGGAATTGTGGCTGGGATGGGATGTGAAGAACCTCGCAAGGCATTTTTCTCGAGTGTTCAATTCATTCTTATCTTTCTGTGCTTCCGGTCTTACGATGTTTTACTGAATGAATGGACGAATATTGTAGAAGTGAGATGACGATTCGACGGATGGCACGACGTGTCGAGTACGAAAGTGTGAGAATCACTGTGATAAGATTCCACCTGACAGCATCATGTGAATGTTAAGATACAGCTGTTCAAAAAGAAAATCTCTGTGGGCGTTTCCGTAGAAATGTGCTGACCGTCAAGGAATTTTCTACTACAGTAATTAGCAGACGATTTTTCTGGGAATCAGTTCACAAAAGCTGTCTTGGCGTGGAAATTCCTAAAACTAATCTGCTTGATGCTGCAAGAGATAGGCTTATTTGTGCTCAGATGAGGAAGAGCAAGGTGAAACATTACTCTTCCTATTTGCTGAAAAAAACCGTGGATCAGTGGTAGACGATTGAACGTGAGATAAATAACTAGTTTACTCTTGTTCTTTTTCCCTGCATTGCTGAATTCCTGCGGGAATGCAACAATGCGGGGAAAGGTCATCGCGAATTCTTGGTAATGAGATGGTATTAATAGATGGGAACATTTCTTTTGGTTTTGTGAAAGGCATCATCTTCGGCTTATTTCTCGCGTCCGGAATACTTTGACCATCTGGTATTCTGTGGGAGGGGTCGATCAAAAGTTCTTCGGAAAAATGGAAATCACGTATCATTGCGCTCAAATTAATTACTGGTCAAATAATATTCTTTGGAAGAATAAAAAAATATTAGCACTGTTTAGTTTTTTTATGTAGCGTTCGGCAAACCAGTCTGGCATCAGCTTCACTTGAAAGATGAGTCAGATTTTTTTTGGTACCCCCCAGCTTTCCCTTCAAAATTCTTGAAATGCAAGGTTTGCCTCCAGTGGGTCTTCCCAAGTAATTTTGTTGTTTTCATCCACAGCCGCCACATTCTCATCCCGGAAGGCTATGAACACAGCTGTGAACGAAAAATTTCGGAATTAATACTCAGTTGATGGTGCGGTAGCGCTTGGAAAAAATTACATGTCCATTTCAAGAATTCTGGATAGAATGCTGGGGAACGCCGAAAGAAAAAAATCGTGACATAATAAGAGCCTCACCGTTTGAGTGAAGAGCGGAAAGCTGCCCGAGTGAGTTTTACAGAAGAATTAAAAAAATATTTTGAACAGTGCTGAATTTTTTTCTGGTGCCAAAAAAGTTTGTTTTTTCTGAACGATAATCGGGTTTCAGCTGAATAGTATGCCGTTCACGTATGTACGTACACCAAGAAAATTTGTGAGACCCGTCGTATATGAAAAAGTTCAAGGCCGTAATTCCAGGAATTAGTCTTGTTATCCGTTTAGTGTCAATAAAAATAAGCAATTGCGATCATCATCAATCAGCAGTTGGCATATGCGTAATTTCCGAATGCAATGCAAGTAAATGGTGACCTTGAATCAGTAGTAAGATGGATAATTTTTTTGGAACAAAGAATCAATTTTCATCGCTCTTGAATCGTTGTGTCCAAGTCCTTCGGAATCTATTGTATATCTAATGCTCCATATCCTTAGCCTATCCTTCGAAGAAATGTATCACTTATGGATACATTATTCATCTAATTTCAGAAAGAATTTTAATCGGGTTTCATTGGAAATCAAATCAGTCTGGTATTCGTGCACGATTTTCCCGGACGTGGCTTTCTCGGCGATGCGAAAACTTACGAGCATATGATATGCTGCTGTGATTTCGGTTATGTCATTAACACATACACCTGTGTTTCTCTCTCTCTCTCTCTCTCTCTCTGCCTGAAGACTTAGGGATTAGGCCGAAGGAGGTATGTACGATACCATCCGGTATCACGTGATTCCGCCCGCGTTTGTGGTGTTCTTCACAGGCGTTGTGCAGTACCTTGCGTGGTCCGGTCGTGGGGCCAGTGTCGACTTTAGCGCACTCTGGGGTAACGAGTTCGCATGGCGCTTTCTCGGAGTTTCCTTCGCCTGGGCCTACGTGTCGCTCCTTGTCCCATCGAGAAAGTGCAAGGGTCCCGTCACTGATTTTGGACAGGTATACTGCTGTACCTTATTCGGGAGATCACTTGATGCAGATGGACTCTCCACAGAAAAATTTCATAGATCGTGGGAACAATGCTGTAAATTATTCATGTTTCAAAAAACTATTATTCTGATGAAATCTCAATGAGATAAATTTCTTGCCGTGTTTATTTTTTCAATAGGCCATATAATGAAGATCATCCCATCATGCAAGCGAAATTGATTTTTCGTTGCATGATGGAAAGGAAAAATTCTCTGTAAAGATTAGTTTGGTGTTGAGAACCCCTGTAACATATGGAGAGAACGTATATGGGACAAAAAAGAAATCGTTCCACAGAGAAAATCGTTTCCACCTGTATCAGAAATTCCGATGGTTGTAATGACAGATGTGAAATCGCAGAGAAAATCTATTTGCTGCACAAACTTTCGAAAAATCCAACCAGCCAGGTAAGCTATTCGTTGTAGAAATAATTCTGTTGCAAAGAACCCCTATAATATGAGGAGAAAATCTTCGGGGATAAGAAAACATCATTTTTATGTACAGAGAAGATCGGCGTAGAGAGTCCACCTGTACCAGCAGATATTCTAATACAAGTGAACTTCCTCTCCTGCAAAAATCTTGTCCACAACGATTTTCTCTGTAGAATACTTTTTTTTTTTTTTTTGCTGGATCCATCGGGTTCTCTCCCCTTTTCATAGAGGATTCTCTAAAAAAAAATTCTCTCAACAACAATATGATCTCTTATTGGTCCTTTAAATTTCGTGGCAGAGACGAGAGCCCACGTGTACTTTCAATCAGAGATATGGTGAAATCGCCGGAAAAATTGATTTACTGCCCAGACCAGCAATTTCTTCTACAACAATTTTCTCTGTATATTACATTTTTATAGACCCGGCTCAATGCCCATTTAGATACTTGGTTTTTATGGAGGTTCTGTTGATTTTAGAAAGAGCTCACCTGTATTAGCTCAGCTCTCGTCTGGAATAACACTCATGAAAGCAATTATCCTTCGCCCATGTGTAACTCTTCTGTCTTTTTTTTTTGCGCAGGTCCCGGAGTACCAGGACAACGGCACCCTTTACTATTGGGCCACGCTGGTCACTTTCGTCTTGTACAACTTCTTCGTAGACAAGGACCTCTCCCTGAAGATCTACGACAACTTCCCACAGATTTTAGGCGCGCTGAATACGTGTGCATTGCTGCTATGTGTCGTGCTGCTCATCAAAGGTCGCCTTTCCCCGGACGTGCGAGAAAAGACTGTGATGAAAAAGTTTCCTATTGCCTATGAGTTCTATTCTGGCAAGGAGCTGCATCCTCGCTTGCTAGGCGTCGATGTGAAGCAGTTCACCAATTGTCGATTCGGCATGGTCGCCTGGCAGATATTCATCCTCGCCTTTTTCTTTGCGGGTGAGAATGAAAAAATAAAAAAAACAGACAAATTTGGTTTCAGGTGTTCTGAACTCTCTCTCTCTATATGCAACGAAATTGAAGGAGCCAGAAAGAATCGTCGTAGAAAAAATTTCGTTTTAAGAAACCCCTCGTTTATAGCAAAAAAAGTCATTGGGCAGAGAAAATTGTTGTTGACAAGATTCTTGCAGGGAGCATCCACCTGAATATTAATTCTTGACAATAACAAAGGGAACCACAGCAGTGAAATCTCAGTACAGCAAACTCCCAGAGATCTGGAATATCGTTGCATGAAACAATTTTGTTTCAATGAGATTCATAGTTTTATAAGCATTAATGTCGGACATTTTTTTGGTAATGGGTAAAACACACGTTGGCTTCTGCGAAAAATATATTAAATACTCAATTGTTTCTAACACTCTTCGATGAAATTCTAACTTGAACTTTTCAAATAAACTCCTGCTATTTTAAACCTGCCCTGCTTCAAGTTTCGAATACTGAAATGTGCTGATTTTTCAATAAATAAAATAAAACAAAATTCTGATATAAGAATACGTACTGTACTTCTTTTCAAAGTCATGTATTCAAGCACCCCCATTTCTTCTTCGAATAACGGGTTCATTTTTCTTGACATATACTGTAGAAATGGGGAATGGTAGCGATGACGATGTGTTCAAAAAATAAAGTTATCCTTGTCCCAAAGCTCGGGATTTCAAAAGTATGTTTATAGTAATACGTTCACGTTTCTTTATTCACATTTTTGGTTGATAGGAATCAAGAGGGAGGGATTCAACTACGGGTTCGCAGTGAATGTGCTTCTGCAATCCATCTACGTCGCCAAGTTCTGGTGGTGGGAGTCGGGTTACTTCTGGACGCTGGACGTGGCCCTGGATCGAGCCGGCTACTACCTCTGCTGGGGTTGTCTGGTTTGGGTACCAGTGTTATACACCTTCTCGTCCTACTTCATGGTCGCTCATCCGCCACTCACGAGTCCTCTCATCTCCCTGCTCATCTTCTTCGTTGGCCTAAGTGCTGTGATCATCAACTACGCAGTCGATCGAGAAAAGGAGATTTTCCGCAAGACCGGAGGTGAATGCGAAATCCGAGGTGAACCAGCCAAGTACATAGACGTCGAGTACGTGGACGAGAAGAAGCGCTTGCGCAAGTCCAAGCTACTCATTTCTGGGTTCTGGGGCACGTTGCGACATCTAAACTACAACTTTGAAATTCTCGCCGCGTTTTCGTGGAGCTGCGTCGGATGGCACCACGGGCTGGCCCCATTCTATTACGTCGTGTTCCTCACGGGGCTTCTCGTTCATCGTGTTTTCCGAGACGAAGAGAAGTGTCGGAGAAAGTACGGGAAATATTGGGAAAAGTACTGCAGTATTGTCCGATACCGAATGATCCCGTATGTCTTCTGAAATCTATTGTTTTTGGAAAAACAAAAACTGTTTCCATCGTCTATATTGATTGTGGACTCTCTCAGTACAATAACGATCTTCTCCTGCCTCTGACCGCCTTCGATTTGCTGTTTGGTTGTGAACTGAAATTTTGCTGTTCTGTCGACGTTATATGCAGTTTGAAATGATACCTCAACCTCACGGTGTCCTCAAATCATCAATCACTGTATTCGTTTTACATACTGAGCACCAGTTTCCTGGAAAGCACTGCACGATGTGTAGGAGTCTCTTCGCTTAAATGGAAAAACAAAAACGTTTCCATCTATACTGATTATGGATTCTCTCCGTACAACACTTTTTTCTGGTCCCCTTAAATTTTGTTGTACAGCAGAAAGTCCCACAGTATCGGAAAAACTCCATTTCACCGTTATTTTCTCCAGCCTCTGACCGCCTTCGATTTACTGTTTGCTCTTCAGGCAAATGTTGACGGGTACACTGAGATACTAGGTAACTACCTTCAGCAATTTAATATTGCTCATATCAGTTCATATGTTTCCATATTCTCATGCATTATACTGCGACTCCTTTTAAGCAGACATGATGGAAGGGTGTACTGTACTAGCGATTTGTGAATCATTCTATATGACATGATGACAGTCATTTAATTTCATTCGAACTACGCATGATCAGCATATGGAATCGAGTTCCACGTGCATCCTTTTTTAAAATTTGAAAAAATATTTTTACAACTCCGGTACAATAATAATTTCAAAAGTGCTACCTGAAAACTGTTTTGGTGCACAATGTCAACTTTTTCAGAGCTAATTATTTTGTGAACCACAGCAATCTCATTGAACAGAAGGAATAGCAAAAAAAAAAAAAAACCAAGCGTGATGAGGCGTATTTTAGCATAAATGCATGCATCCTTTTTATAGCTTAGCGCGCTTACTGTAATTTTCAGCATATCTCACAGATTTTTTTAAGGATTGCGTACCAAAATCGTTGAAATATTCTTAAAAATTATTCAACCAAGCGGTGCTCCAAATCATCTTATATGAAAAGTGCACGATCATCATTTAGAAAAGGTTGTTGCTTTTTCATTTGCTGGTCCTTGACTCAGCTAGTATTTGCCGTAGCCCTTGCGTTTGCAGTCCAATGCACAGCATGCCTTTTTTATTTCTTCTCCATTGTATTATCTGATTCAGAATGAGTATGTCGAAAAGTCAAACTGGAAGGGTCAGGCAAGTGACACGGTTTCATGATGAGTAAGCTACAATCTTTACTTTTTGACCAGTCATGGTGATCTGCAATATTGAGCAGTATATCAGATGCGATCAATTTCTGCAGGACAGACGGGGTTCAACCTTCACGAAGGTCCGTTCGAAGAAGGACATGGAAAAAGTCACATTTTTCTAGTTGGAAGGATTGAGTTGCTAAACATCAAGGGAGATTATGATGTCTTTATCGAAAACACGCACGTCTTCAAAAACAAGTGTTGAAGTTCTCACTATAATTCAAAATACGAGTTTTGTAAATACAATATATCGAACACGAGTTGAAACTTTGGTGCTTTCGCGATGGGTTCGTTTGTGTCAGTGTTTGGATTCACATCCATCTTTCCATTGAAAGAAAGAAGATAAAATCGCAGGAATAGTCATATGTAAGCAGTGGAACAGGAAGAATTTTGCAGCAGCATCACCAGAACAAAGTTTGCAGATATATGTGTTTGTAAACGCAACGTCAGGGAGTCCTCTGGCTTTCTTTGAAGGACTTTTTTTTCTAGGACACGATCACAAGTAGTTTTGACGATTTTCACCGAATTGTTTTCGTTCACCGATCAATTAACGCCTCTGCATTAGATCATCCGCCACAATTCATTTTCTCCTCTTTATCGACGGAGGGAACGAATGCAATGATATCTTGAGCTATGCTGCGATGATAAGTCAAACCCCGTTAAACCGCCAACGTTTGTGCTGCAGAATTTTGGCGGTTTAACGGGGTTGGCGGTTTATCCAGGGAAGGATGAACCAAAGTAAAACAAAATTCTACCACTGCCACCTCTGCTTCAACCTAGCTGAAGTACTTTTCATCTTCTTATTTTTGGGGAATTTTTTTTAGTACAAACATCTCAAAATTGAGTAACCCAATTAAATTTATAAGCTAAACCACAAAAACGTTGTATTCTGATGCTTCAAAATGTAATAATTCACCAACTTGATCAATGTGTGATTTATTCTTGAATATCACTTGATCTGGTTTTTCTTACAGAAAGTGCCTGCAACTTTTGGACTCATGTTATCTTTCCCATCAATATTTTTTTCCTTCATTGTTCAATTTTAAAGAAACCTGAAGAAATTTTTTCTGTCAATTTTTCTGAGAATTGCAGTCAATAAATGCACTAATTCATTTTATCCAAGTTATCTGGAAACAACCTAATTTTGGAAACAAAGAAGAAACCTGTCTTGGTAGTTTTTCTATTTCAAGAAGCACAGAGTTCTTACAGAAAGTGCCTGCAAGTTTTGGACTCATGTTATCTTCCCCATCAATATTTTTTCCTTCATTGTTCAATTTTAAAGAAACCTGAAGAAATTTTTTCTGTCAATTTTTCTGAGAATTGCAGTCAATAAATGCACAAATTCATTTCATCCAAGTTATCTGGAAACAACCTAATTTTGGAAACAAAGAAGAAACCTGTCTTGGTAGTTTTTCTATTTCAAGAAGCACAGAGTAGGGGATATATGTTCCTAAGAAACAAAGAATACATTTTTGCTTATCCAAGTTATCTGGAAACAACCTAATTTTGGAAACAAAGAAGAAACCTGTCTTGGTAGTTTTTCTATTTCAAGAAGCACAGAGTAGGGGATATATGTTCCTAAGAAACAAAGAATGCATTTTTGCTTGGATTGGATATTTCTGCATGAGGGATACTTGTTTGCTCTATATTTCCACAGAAAAGTTGCACAAAATTTTAAGAGGCTGACAATAAAATTGTACCCCAGAAATTTATTAACAAAAGAAACTGAAGAGGAAGCTGGGAGGGAAGGAAAGGCTGGAATTTCAATAAATAAAAGGTGAGAAAAAGATGGTTGAGATGAGAGAAATATTGGTGAATGGAAAGTCTGGGAAGGAGGAAAAAAACTGGCGGTTTATAGAGGGAGAAATACAATAGGGCAATCCAGTTTGACAGGAAAAAAATGTTGGCGGATGGCGGTTGGCGGTTTAAAGAGGTTTTGCCATCCCTTCAAGCTTAGGAAGATTTGTTAGGGATGAAATTTTGGCGGCAACCGAGGGTGGCGGTTTATTGGGGGGCGGTCTAACGGGGGTTGACTGTATATATATATATGCGTGGTTCACCGAGGATCAAGGATCTTTAGTCCCAGAGGCATGTCGATTGTCATCCGACTGTCGTCATTTTACGCTAATGTGCCTGCAATTACGAACCCGAATACCGATTTGGGGATCCCTGAACTTCATTCTGCAATTTCCCGAAAGTATTTCTGATGCCAGTGATTTTAGTTGTCCCTCCACATGCAGCTGAACAGTGAGGAGTCTCTGTCGAATGATTGACCTCCACAAGAAAAAATTGCATCACAAAATTTCTCAGGAAGAAAGAGTTGAATAAAAAAAGGCAAGCAAAAATGCTCTGCATCATGATTTTCTTTTTCGATGCAGGATATCTGAAATTCGAATTTCAGGCTGCATCTCAATTGCAATCTCTTGTTATCTCTCTTTCTTATTCACTTCTCAGGTTTCCAATCTTGAATTCAACTCATAAACTATGAATTAAAATTGAAATCTAGGTTTCTGTAGATGTGAAGATCAATGCTGTATCTCTGTATCAGATTCCCAAAAATGTGCAACCTTGACTGACTTCAACCAATGAAGCAAAGAAGAATGAATTTATAAATGTAGGTACAATATTCTACTTCTTTGTTCCTCTTTTTATTCTGAAGAAAAACCTATGCACTTTCCCCTCAAACCTCCATAAGTTGAATTTTCTGTGGCCTGTTGACCATTATTTTCTTGAAAAAAATAAAGAAAAAAGCAATAAAACAGAAATTTAAGTTTTTTAAAGGAAGTGAAGGACTAAATTGGGCAAATGAACCCCTTCCTCCAAGTTCAGCAGCCTTCTAGCTCATTCAAGAAGCCATTCAAGCCCCAGAATATCACCATTTACATTTTTTCTGAGTTTCCCAGAAAAAAAGGACTTTGCATTATAGTTCCAACCTATAAAAATTCAAAACCCTGCCAAGTCAAATTTGTTTGCAGGTCCCTTGAAATTTGACTTAGGAGAGGTTTGACAGTAATTACCAAATTTTCTGGTCTATAATGTTATCATGCAAAGACACCCTGATGACTAGCTCCACTGTTATCCTGATTTTTTGTTCTTCAAAATATGTATACCAATATCCTTTGCAACCTGCTTTGAATTTTTATAGGTTGGAACTATAATGCATAGTCCTTTTTTCTGGGAAACTTAGAAAAAATGTAAATGGTGATATTCTGGGGCTTGAATGGCTTCTTAAATGAGTTAGAAGGCTGCTGAACTTGGAGGAAGGGGTTCATTTGCCCAATTAAGTCTTTCACTTCCTTTAAAAAACTTAAATTTCTGTTTTTATTGAGTTTTTCTTTATTTTTTCAAGAAAATGATGGCCAACAGGCCACAGAACTGCTGTGGGTTCCTCGAAAAAAAAGTACGCATGGTTCTCAGGTAAACACCACACATTTATTTTCCTGCAGGGATCCACTATACAGTACAGTCAACCCCCATCTAATGGACTTGATTCATGCAACGGGCAAGTCTGTTAGACAAAAAGTCCTTTACACAAATTCCATTTTATAAAAAATTAAAAATTTTGATTTTCAACACTAATTTTAAACCAAA